GCCTAGCCGCCATGGCCGATAAAATATTTTTTTATTAATAATATTTTTTTTCATGGCCTCCGTCGGCCATGGCTAGTAAAATAATTTTTTTGTTCATGGCGGTAAAATATTTTTTTATTAATAATATTTTAATCTCGCATGTATACTAGAAGTGGCCCTCGCTATTACATTGAAGCTACATTAAAAATCAAGAAAAAGAAGAAGAAAAAAATTGATTCTCATTTTTATTCCCTTAATCAAGAAACTACTTTTTTTTTATTATCGATTCTCGCTTCCAAAACTTATTCTTGGCACAAATTTGCAAGAATTTGTGCCTTAATCAAAAAATTTAACAAACGGATTGCTTTCAAAACCGATTTGTGAACAAAAGAACAAAAATTTTCATTATTTGGCCAGTTTCCAAACAGGCCCTGAGTCGTCTATCAATCGAGCCACGATAATTCACAGAGAGAGAGAGAGAGTCTAATGAGGCTAGCTGACCACGTTCGGTGGGGCCCGCCCAACCACGTGTGGTCTCTCTTCGTCGTGCTAGTATCTTCACTAGACTGCGCCCCCACATTGCCATGTGTGAAAACTTTATTATTGAGAAAATGACAAAAATGATTTATTAATTTTACCTCATTGTCCGACAATACACGATGTGATTTTTTAACTTTAGCTTCATGTGTAATATGATCTATGAACATTTAGTTTGTTCAATATGGTTAATGTACTTTTGATACATATTCGATATTTTCCCTAAACTTAACTTAATGGAAGGACTTGAACATTTTCATGTTATTCGAGAACTAAATTAAACATATACCAAAAGTCTAAGGACTACATTAAAAAAATTAAAAAGTTTATGGACCACAATGCATATTGAGCTGAAGTTCAGGGATCACATTGAACAAACTAAAAGTTAAAGAACTACATTATACATTTGATCAAAATTGAGAGATCATTTTATGTCATTATCTCTCTTTATTTTATTTTTTTGGCAACGAAAGGCATCAAATAACCAATGACGGTCGCAGGAACTCCCATGAAAGCTTCCAAAAGAGTTTCCACAAAGAAAATAGGAAGATTGCTGTCGTGGGATCCATCGATAGAATCTCTGTTAACGTTACCCAAGTAGTATATTCTCATGTCTCAGGATATGTACATGGTCCTTCTGACGTATTTTCTCTTTCTTTCTCCATTATTGCCTCGTTTTTTAGCCATATTTCTCAACAATCACTATAGACACGATGACAACGGCCATATCCCAAAATGATTCGCGGACTTTCCCTCAAAGACAAGATAACCCTGCGAGCTTCTTACTCGATGCGCCAAAAGCCTGAAAGGCCCACCGTCGAGTTTAAATTTGCGTCTGAGTCAATGCGACGTGTGACACGGCTAACGACGCCGACTTGTACCGAGCCAAAAGACGCCGCCGGCTCGTCAACAAAAGTCACACGATACAGTTTCTTTAAAACGTTGACGTTTTTTGTTCCTATTAATTAGGACTAGTATGATTCGCGTGCTTTCAATTATTAATCCGTTCCCCTAAAGCATCACCTTTGCCCTGTCGTGTGCCACGTCATAACGAAAACTTTGTGACGGTGGGTGTTTTTGTCTTTAGATATGGTCCGTGGGTTTGGTTTTTTTTTTGGGGGGGTCATTTGGAAAGTGTTTTTATAGGAGAGAGTTTACGTGTTTTTTATTTTTTTGAGATATGGCCCAGTAGTAGCTTGATTAATTTTGTGCTTTTTGATCGAGCAATCTTGATTACGCGGCACTGTCCGAACAAATTGCCCAGGCCCATGAAATTGAATGGGCCTTGTTTTGGGCCAGGCCCAGTACGGACAGCCCATTTTCTCTCAACTTCCCATCTCTCTCTCCAAGAGAAAACGCTTTATGCATCGTCATCATTCACCAAACTCAGGAAAATTCTAAATAAGGATATAAAGTGCTATCATTTTCTCGTATAAGTTTGAAGTGCATTTTATTTCTAATAAAGACTTGAAGTGATTCAAATAAATGCTAGATTTTTTACCTTTTAGATGGTCAAAACATTTTCGTCCGTTACTATTTCTGGATTTTTTTTTCCTCTTTTCCCTTTTTTACTTTTTCTGGTGTTTTCTTTCTTCTTCATCGCCGACCATCGGAGAGGACCCTTGCCCGATTTGGCCTATGGCCGACGAGGGTAGCCTAGCCAGATCGGGCAAGGGTTGCCCTCACCCAGCCCTCTCCAAGCATTGTTAGTGTCTAGTCACCGACCATTGACGAAGAAGAAAGAAAAAAAAAAGGAAAAAGAAAAATAATTTAAAATTATCTTTAGATGAAAATGTCTTTCATTGGTCGAAATATTTAGCCGGCCGGTGATCGGCGAGATCACGCCCTTTGATTGCATTTGGTGGCCGTGATAAAACTCAGGATATTTTATCTTATCTTGTGTTTGGTTCCTGCTCAAGAAAGGATAAAATTGTATATAAAAGGGATATAGTCTAAATAAAATTATCCCGGGGGAGGTGGGATGAAGTTGGATAAGATTTCTCATGTTTATGGTATAACAGCTATTTTTCTTGAAACAAATTTTTTAAATAATAAAAATAAAAAATATTTTAGTTATAGTATTGAAAAGATAATTTAGAATAACAAAAAATAATTTTCGTTTTTATATATTCCTATATTATTTATATAATTGAATTTCTTTCTACTTTACAATATATATTTAATATCTATATTATTACGTATTTTAGGTATAATAGTATAGTTTATAATAGGAGCGAGCGGTCTCCAAATTCTTTATGTGCTCCATCTGTAACCTAACCTCCTCCTCGCATGCGCTCTTCATTTTTAACCTGAACCTACTCGTCGAACCCGAACCTACCCCATCACGCATTCTGTGGTCCGCCTGTGGTCCAACAAGTTCTTTTTTTTTATTTCATTTTTAGTTAAAAAAAATGAAAATGAACGCAACAATACCGGACAAGCTTATTATTCACCAAAGAGAATACAAAAGACTAGTTTTCCTAGCATTATGGTTCAAATAAATATAATTAAAATAAGAAGTTATCGTGTGAATTGATGCGCAATAGAATTCACTAGGGATTAGCATGTCGATCAACATAATATCCATATCCAGAACCACCAACAAAATGGGAAGCAAGATAAAGGAAAGAAAGATGAGCTTTTGGTCCTCAAACATCCATGAAAATTTCAACCAAATTTTGACCACCTAAAATCAAAAGAAACAACAATCATAGTTGATAACTTGATGATAGTTCTAAATTTAAAATCGAAGTGTCGCGTATCGATTATTTGCAACTATAACTACAACTTTTTATTTTCTCCTTCCACCATCCATTATCACCATGGTTCTAACTATGCAACCATCAAGTTTAAGATGTTTATTAAAAGAGTGAATGATGAAAACAATCGACCTCGCTAAAGAACAAAAAAAACATAACAAGTTAAGAAAAGCAATGAGAATGCGAATGGTGGACACTCCAAAACCACAATAAATCAAAGGTCTAAACAAACCTTAGGAAATGTTATACATGACAAGTTAAGCAAAGCAATGAGTATGCGGACGGATATAAGAATTTGAGAGCTAAGAAGTGAGAAGTGAGGAGTAGTAAGAAAATTAGGGATTTTAGATTTAAGATTCCCAGTTCCATTCCTAGTTCCGATTCCTAAAAAAATGGAACCGGGAACCGGAACCTCCCTACCTAGAACCTCTCCGATTTCCGATTTTACCCTGGATCCGTGCTCACCTCTAGTTTATAAGCCAATAAAATTTTTATAAAGAACTAATGGAAGGGAATACAAAAATAAAAAAAGATATGGAAAAATAAAAAAAATTTTGAGTAAGTAAAAATGAGGTAGAATAACCCATATTTTAATAAACAAATTAAAATTTGAAAAGAATCTTTCTAATTCTCAAAACTCCTCTATAATTTTGTGGTTTATGTCGAAATTTCACAAAAGTAGCAAAGGAGTCCAAATATTATACTTTTTGTAATCACAAAAGTGAATGATCATAGTTTTATTCTCTTACTAAATTTGGAAGTGAATTATGAGAGAATTTTACAATATTCATTTGTGCATTTTCAAATTCATTTGATTTTCGGTTCATAAACATTAAACGTAGTGGAGAATTATCAAAGGCCGAAAAAGGAATAATGCCTTCGAGCCGCCCTCTTCGTGCTTGTTCCAAAGACAACAATCTTCGCCCTAAACTCCACCTTGCGAAATCTATTCCGAAAATACCGCACTAAATCGGGCAAGTTCCTGTAACCAAAGACTACTCCACAAGAAACTTCTTCCGTAAAGGGCAAAGAAAAAGTTGGAGAAGCTTCAACTCCATCCGAAAAGAAATCTGTTCATGTAAGCCCTAAGACATCTGGGGGCTAAGGCCAAAATTTGTTGTTCCCAGATGATGATGCACGATTTTTGAGAATTTTGAGATGAAAGTTGGAATAGCATCTCGGCTTGCCCCGGAATGGGTGAGGCTTAGCTCGTGGCTAATCGCGCATCATAATGTATTACATGTGCCGTTACTTATGCAGATGAGTCATGTAACAATGTAACTAGTACTTGCTATTTCGAGTACTGAGCAAGGCCTACTTCGTCACGTAACCCTCGTTTGGAAAACTAGGGGTTTATGAATTTTGCCTTCAATCGCCAACACTTATGCGAATTAATCAGCCTACTTTTTTATTCACCAATTCGTCACATTTTGTTTCCGCATAAATTACTAAAAATTGTTTTAGATCACCTATTCACCCCCCTCTAGGTGATCCTTGCTAGCTACATCAAATAGGATACGGTAAAATTCTTAGATTTCATATTCTATCCTATTCAATCCTATCATGACTAGAAATCGAGACGACTAAATGCAGCATTCTTTTGAGACTTAGATAGTCCCTTCAGACTTCTATTTTATACAAAATTTTACTTTTATTTGAGAAAATGACGGCACTTCTCGCTCTTATTTAGGATTTTCCCACCAAACTCGGATTTCACTGTCTGCGTCTCCTTTTTCCACACCTGCCTGCCCTTCTTTCTGCCCCTCGCAAGGCGTCTGCTTTGTTCACGCAAGCTTTTCAGCTACCTTCCCCTCCCAATCCACCACCACCATCATCATCATCATCATCATCATCATCAGGGAGAGAGAGAGCGAGGATGGGAGTGCCTGCGAAAATAGCGCCGTCGATGCTGTCGTCGGACTTCGCCAATCTGGCCCCGGAAGCCCAGCGCATGCTCGATTGCGGCGCCGACTGGCTCCACATGGACATCATGGTACGCCGCTCCAACGTTGCCCTCCATTCAATTCTCACTTTCGTTAGGGGCGGAGATCGTGTTGGGTTTCGCGTGCTGTTCCGTTTTCGGTCCATCCCTGTATTGTCCGATGTAATTGGCTATTGGCTCGAGCTTGTGTCCAGTACCGATGGCTTGCCTAAGGGAGATTTTAGGTTTCGGATTTACATTTTAGCTACTTTGCTCTTATAAATGCTGGTTAGCTGAGGTGGGGTTCAATTTATTACTCCGTGATTGTCACCAACAAGTGAGCGAAAAGCGCGAATGAATGGAGGAGATGTGAGCAACTTGGGGTCGTTTGATTAGGTTCTTAGCATGACGTTGATACAAATCTAACTCCAATGCCCATGTTCTGTGCAGTGAAATGGGGATCTGATATTGTACACGGGTTGTGTCTTTCGATGAATGAGCACTTCATTGGAATAGAACGAAGTTGCAGCATGCTGAGTACATGAGAGTATACATTAGAAAGTACCACAGCAAGAAAGCTGAAAAAAACATAAAACACGAGCGGGAAACAAATTTAAAAATGTAAATCGCAATCTAAAAGAGAAACCTATCGACAGCATGGCCTAGAACTCTGGCCATAAGTTCCGCACCGTGAAGTCATACTGTTGAATGCCGACTCATTCTTCTCCTACTCTTCTTGATTCGAGTGCACTACACGTTTGTTTTGGATGCAGGAGCACAACTCACTTTCCAGTAATTTAAAGTCTTTTCCTTTTATTAAGTTATCAGGACGATAAAGGGTCGTCTGCTAGCAGTGTGACTTTTAATGAGATCTGGGGGTTGAGATCGTCTGTCATCTGTAACTCTTGTATTAGAATATCTTTTCTCTGAGCCAGCTCTAATTCAACTCGAGTCCAGCCCCTTTTTTGTTCTTTTTTCCATCATGTATTTTCCCGACTATGTCGAATTGGTGTGAGAGCTCCTCGTTAATGTTTTCCCCACATCAGTTTTCTTTTCATTGGAATGTTCTCTATGATGCTGTGAAAGATCAATTTCTCATACATCAACCTAAAAGACTGAGCTGATGCATGAGAAGATTGCAGCCTCCCTTATTTTGGGATGCAATCTGCGAACTGGAAATGTGCTCGAAGTCTACCTGTTTTTTGGATTTTTGCGATGATGACTTTGGTTGGTATTAACTGTGTCTTATGGTCACTAACCGAGGACTATTTTGTCGATCCTTATTTTGGTATATGAATGCATTAGCATTATATCCTATGCTTTATAGCTGTTACTCATCATGGGCATTCTTGTTTGAAGTTTTTATTCTGTTTGTAACTAAGTAACACAGTTTTCCTAATTATCTGCAGGATGGGTAGGTTTCCACAGCCAGTTCAATCTCGTTGCTGTTTAATAGCCTTATGAAGAGATTTTATGTCTGGCGATGTGCTTCCATCTTCTCTTTCTCTTTCTCTTTCTTCTTCTTCTTCTTCTTTATTTCTACTTAGATGAATTTTAGGTGAATGTATGCACATAGTCAATTTCAAGGATTAGTTTTACTTACTGTGGAACTTATGCTTGGATATGCATTTATTCTCGTGTGTACTAGCATCATTTAGCCAAAGTTTGTTGATTGCAGGATCGACCAGATCATTTGAACTTCTATATGTCTAACAATCTCAAACCATTCTGAAAGTGGCTAAAATGAGCTCAGGCTAGCCCTTAGAGTGTGTAGATTCAGACAGTTTGGCTTACATCATACTCGTGCATCTATTAGCCGAAGGCATGCAAATTGTGACTTGCACGAATATGGTATCTAATTGGAGTATCCATGAATAAAGAAAAAGGACAGTTATACAACTCTGAAGTAATATGATGAAATTTGGAATAACCAGTAGCATTCACTAAAAATCCTCAACAGAAAGGACTGGAGAAGAAAGATTTTGCGTGGCTGTGCTTTGCTGGTTTTAGATTGAACCTTTTTTGAGGAGTTGACATGAGCAACAAATTAGCTTCTTCTCTTGTGAACGTGAAGATGTGAGGCTGAAAAGATTAGACCTGCTCTTTTTATAAGTGAAGTGCGGAGTGATGTTTAAATTATGAGAGCATGCACTTAAGACGTTTGTGCCCTAAGCATAAGAATTTGGAAATTGCTGTACTGTGCGGTGCTGAGTAGTCAACTTGCCCTGACTGAGAGTCTGAGAGCTTGATTGGTAGTATGTTGATGTGCATGACAAACAAGCTCTCCTTGTAGGCACTGGTGTACTACAGTCATTCTACTTCTCAGAAAAAAATATGTTTGAATGACATCTCAGTTAAAATACTTTTGATTACAGGCACTTTGTCCCTAATCTAACTATAGGAGCTCCAGTCATCAAGAGTTTGAGAAAGCACACCAAGTGATGTTCTATCACAATCTTTTTCTCCATCTAGTGTGCCTTTTTTTTGCGCTATTAGCAATTTGCATGGGTAAAGTGGATTACTTCGGGTTTTATAGGGCTTATTTGGATTGCCATCTTATGGTCACCAATCCTCTTGATTATGTTGAACCTTTGGGGGACGCCGGTGCTTCAGGTTTTACATTTCATGTTGAGGTGTCAAGAGGTAGTGCCCTCATGCTCTTTTTGGTGCTGATCGCCTGGACCTTTTCTTTTAAATGTCCCTTGTTTAATTGATAATTTCTGCTGGTTGCAGAAAACTGGCCAGAACTTGTGAAGAAAATCAAGTTAAAAGGCATGAGGCCTGCTGTGGCTGTAAGACCTGGAACCCCTATCGAAGAGGTCTACCCTCTGGTGTGTATTCCCAGTATTCATACTTCCTTTGCGAACTATCATTCTTTTAAGGACTTTGGTTGATTAATTAACTTTGATGAAATCCTTTTAAAATTGTTTTGTCATGTTGCCATATGTTCTGAAGAGTACCAACAGCATCCGTTGTTTTTTTTTTTTTTTGTCTTCATAGGTCGAAGGTGAAAATCCTGTGGAGATGGTCCTTGTCATGACTGTAGAACCTGGGTTTGGTGGGCAAAAGTTCATGCCAGAAACGATGGAAAAGGTACCCCAGTGACCCAGTCCTTTGTATCTTTAAACTATTATGAGTAATTGTTCAAGACTCACATATTTTGGCATATTATTTGTTTAATTTTCTGCTGAGCGCATTTTAGTGGCCTTGTAACCATTTGTTTATTTTCAGGTTCGTGTGCTGAGAACCAAATACCCATCACTTGACATAGAGGTATGTGTTCATCCTAGTAGTTTGATCAATCCCTCTGCCAACTACTGATGAACTAGTCAGTTTTAATTCTGTTCAGGTGACGTTCAGTTTGATTGACAGTATGCATGCTCTCTCTAAAGAAAATGACTCCATTTACAAATCATTTTAACCTTTTATTTCTTACTTTGATTTTAAAGACATCGTATTGTGCCCTTGGTGCGAAATGTTGTTGAAGAACTGGAAAGGAAACTTCATTGATGCATCTTAGTGGGCTTCTGATAGTACTTGTTTATAACACCTGATCTTCTACATTTGAAATTTCTGATCTATCAGGTTGATGGCGGTTTAGGACCTTCTACCATTGATATGGCAGCTTCTGCGGGGGCAAACTGCATTGTTGCTGGAAGTTCTGTGTTTGGATCACCAGAGCCAGCACAGGTTATACTTCTTATGAGGAAGAGTGTCGAGGACGTGCAGAATAGTAGTTGATACTGGTGCAGGCAAGATAAATCACTTTTTATTTATTTATTTATACATGAACCATGAATAATGTGCACTTCAGGCTCATTTTCAGCTAAGATATGTGCACTTCAGACACTGTGATGACGTAATCAATAATACCTAAAGATAATATTTTTGAGACAAAACATGAGTGGTTTCTGAGATATATTATGCACAGAAATTCCTGGATTGTAACCCAGATTCAGCATTTGGTTCGACTTTTTTTATCGCACTTCATTTCATGTCAGCTTGAATTTTTTTTTTTTAATCTGGCTACTGTATGTACATGTACATAAGCAATGAGTGTCTAGCCAGAGAAACTGTTAGCGTTACACAAATAACTAGCTGAATCTTTTTGTATGGTGACGGTGGCAATGTGAAAAGATTTAGAGGCCATTTGCGCCAATCTTATTTGCAAGTATGCACATTTCTCTCATAAGATTCTGTCAATTATGTAGTTCGGATGCTTCGAGCAAAATTCGGCCGAAACTGAACGCTCCAGCAAGCTCAAGCTTATAGGCGTGGCCGTCCTGCACCTCACGAGCGCGATATTTTTGCCAAAGTGGGGTCGAAGCATCACATTATTCGAAACAAACCAACTTCATAAGACTAGTCAATTATCGCAAGAGCGGGTTTTTTAGCATTTTATGCTGGTCCTGCGCTTGGGTCGAAAACGATACGGGAGATCTGTCCTTCTGCTTTGACCACCTGAAACATCGTCAAGGGTCACGTGGGCTTTCCTTGATGGCGTTTGATCTGAAACTTTTCGTAGTATTTTTTTAGCGTTTTTCTTTCTGTACTCGCTCTTCTTTTAGGGCAAGGGTGCCTGAGTGCCCAGCATGTGTTGTCACGTGCATGTGACTCCTCCCTTTTATTTCTTCCCTTGGGACTCGCGACTTTCGTTTTTGTACTCGCATATTTCTGGTAAATTGTGGAGGAGAAAGCTCTTGGTAAGTCTTTCTAAAATCGTTCCAGCCTAAGAGTTCGAGTTTAAGCCGAGTCGAGGCAAAATTTGATCATACTGAGTTAATTTTGATTGGCCTATACTCTCTCCATTCCTCTTGCTCGTACTCGATTCGTCAAGATCTTAGATCGAACATGAGTCAGACTTGTCGGATGTCGAACCCAGCTATCAGTTTGGCTACAAGTTAGGACTGAACGATGGAGGGAGGCAGAGAAGATTTCCGGCAGTTTAAGAATCTTATGTACCTAGAATACATAATGGTTGTCGTGATCTTATTTGTCCGCTGTATCTCTACCTTATTACAAGAAGGCAAACATAATCCCACACATTCCTAGTTCCTAGGAGGATGCTTCATGAGCAATAGAGGATGAATCTCACAGCTGGGAACACTTTGAATTCCCATGAAAAGGAGGAGATATCGTACGTCGCTGGCCAAAAAGAAAGAAAGAAAAAGAAGTGAATTGGACACGGCGTTGTGGTCAGCAGGAGACGATGCTTCCGAACATGCCGGCGCCTCGTCGCTGCGCGCGCGCTGCGACCGTCCATAGTAATTCTCAAGACAATAAGCATTTATAAAATCCACCGTCCATGGGCTTTGTCCGTGCACAGCGGAACAGCAGAATTTCTTCCATCAAAATCTAGGACTCCCCATCCATCTTCATTCTTTGAACTTGTTACCATTATTATCATTATCTTTTTCAGTGGGACTCGCTTCGAGTTGCTCTGAAGATTGGAATACCATATGGCCACCGCCTTGATGGCGACACGTGTAGCCGCGCGCGCTCCGCGAGGAACATCAGAATGTAGCTGATGAGTGCTTCCTTACACGGAATATATGTCCTCTGTTCGATGTAGGATTTTCATGGCCTGTTTGACCCATCAATCTAGAATCTGATCACCCTTTTGGCCTTGCTCCTGCTTTACCCTGCATGGCGTGTCTTCCATCTATGTCCCGTTTGCTTGTGCTCGAAAGATTCTTTTCAAGTTTCGTCTTTGTCGGCTCTCTCAAAAAAAAAAAAAAAATTCTTGCTTGCATGGCTTCGTAGAGAGGCTCTAAGTCTGCGGAATTTGCAATAATCAGAGAAAACGACTACGTCCCTCGCGACCGACGGGGCCTATGCGATCCGAGTGCTACAACTCTCGATTGCGGTACATTCGGGACTAACCAAATCTCTAGTGTGTGAAAGGGTGCTTAAAAATAAAATTGGGTACTAAACGGTCCACGCCCTCTACCAATGTCTTGAGAAGAAGTGAAAAGAGACAAGGGCATGGTTATACACGCACTGGAATCTTGGGATAGATGAGCTTGTCTCAGCCATTGGAATCATGCACCAGGTAAAGGGGTTTGAACTTAACAAATGAGCTGAGTCAGAGCAAGTGTGTGGAATTCCGCTTTCTTTATCATCCCCAAGAATCTTGTCAGCCCGTAAAAAAGTTTTAACTTTTTTACGGCACCACTTTGTGTGTAGAGATCCGAAATATTCAACCTCTGAAACTGAGCAAGCCTCTTGTTTTAATTCGACGCCTCTCGTTTCCTATTATAAGTACTTGGCAATGGACACGGAAGCTCTTTGGTCACTGAACACCGGTTGAGACTTCTGGTCTTGTCCATCTGTTTACTGCCCTCCGTTCTTCTTCTTGCACCGGACTTGCTTACTTGTGGACCTGCACTTACAGTGGCTTCTTGGTCCCTTTGCACTGAAAGCAAGTCGCCGAAAGAGTGTCACGCACATATCCGTACTACTCCTGCCTCTTCAATCTGAGCTTCTACTTGGGAATCGGCAAGTGTGTAATTGCAGAGACTGATGGCTCTTCTGCAGACACAGAGTTTCTGCCCCTGGATCAGCCCTTAGCAATCCCAGTAGAATGCGAATGCAACTTCCGGGCTGAGTTGATAAAGAATACGATAGACGGAGAGAGCTTTCGATCCGTCGCTGGATCGCTCGAAGGCTTTGACAACCTGCCGAGCCATCCGAGAGGCAAACCCGGGTATTCCTCAATTCGACCTCAATGAAAATGTTCAGTTACGCGTGCCGCTGCCTGCCCTTCTCCTGAAACTAGTACTTGTCTCTTGCTCACTTATCCTATAAGCAAAGGAGACACTGTATCAGGCTTGGCCTCGAAGTTCAATACCACTCCTCAAGCTATCATATCTGTCAATAATGGATCACTCGGAACGTTCGATCCCGAGAGGCTGATTCCATTGACGTCCATTTTGATACCGATTGATGGTCGGCCTATGCTTGGTTCTCCCGCTGAACCCCGTGAGCCGATCTTGGATTTTGTGGACACTAGCGATCCGATAGTCGATTAACACGAGAAGAAATCAAGAATGTGGGAGATTTGGATTTACATTGCCGCAAGTAGCGTGACAGTTGGGATTAGCGTTATGATTGTGGCGATCATAATGGTAATCCATTACAAGAGGAGGAACCGGAATTTGTGCAAGCCGGGGAGTCTAGCGGATGATGTGGAGCTGCAACAACTCAGTTTGAGCGTGCGAACCACGAGTGACAAGAAAGTTTCCTTCGAAGGTTTGCAATGTCCTCTGGACGGTCAAATTATTGACACCACGCCGCGTAAGATGCAGGTTGAGCTGTACACGATTGAAGAACTCAAAAGGGCCACCGAGGACTTCAATGTGAGTAACCACATCGAGGGGTCCGTCTACCACGGCCGGCTTGGTGGAAAGAACTTGGCAGTAAAGATGGTAAAGATGGAAACTTTCGCAAAGATCGAGTTCGGGTTATTCCATGATGCCACCCACAAGCACCCCAACATAATTAGACTTCTGGGGACGTGTCTGACCGAAAGCCCAGGTTCTTATCTTATTTTCGAGTACGCGAAGAATGGATCATTAAAAGATTGGCTTCATGGAGGCTTGGCGATCAAGAGCCACTTCATAGCTTCGTGCTATTGCTTCTTGACGTGGAGCCAGAGGCTAAGGATTTGCCTTGATGTGGCAATGGCCTTGCAGTACATGCACCACATAATGAACCCGAGCTATGTACACAGGAACGTGAAAAGCCGGAATATCTTTTTGGACGAAGAATTCACTGCGAAGATCGGGAATTTCGGCATGGCTTGCTGTGTCCAGGATGAGAGTGGAGATTCACCGGCAGACGAGCCAGAGTCTTGGAGCAAGGCATATTTAGCACCTGAATACATTAGTCAAGGCACCATATCGCCTGGCCTCGACATTTTTTCATACGGGGTTGTCGTGTTGGAGGTATTATGCGGTAAGATGCCAATGGTCTGGTCAGAGAACAAGGGAGAGGAGACAATTCGGCTGTCGGACCAAATTCGGTCGATTCTCCGATCAGACAATGCAGATGAGCTCAGGAAATGGATGGACGACGCTTTGGGTGAGGATTACTCATTCGATGTAGCGGTCACGCTGGCCAATCTAGCGAGAGCTTGCACGGAGGAAGATCCATCTACGCGGCCGAGTGCCGGAGAAATTGTTGAGAGGTTGCTGAGGTTAGTGGAAGAACTGCCAGGAGAGCAGAGTCTGGTGAGTGAGAGCTCCTGCAAGCCTCTGGTGAAGGCTGCCGCTACCAACCCGCGTAAATAACTGTTTGGAGATTGAAAAGTTTCAGCTCTGAGTTATGATCAGGTCATTACAAAGTTTCTTTTGTGGCCAATGTCCTAGTTTACGATTTACAGCCTTCTTGTCTTTATGTACATTCGCCGTCGAACCTGAATCCAAATTAGAAGCATGTTCAGACTCTGTATCCCTCCTTTTTCACGCATCAATAAAACTGTCTTTAAGTCGGAATTAACTCTGAGGTGATTGCATTTTTCTGTTGCCGGGTTCCGTTTATTCACGGACGGCACAAACGAGACATGTAGTTTTTGGGAACCATGTGGCGTGTTTTGATACTAGCAGGGCAAAAGATTTCGGAGTTACAGATGCAGATGCAGAGTCCCCTGTAACCAAAGTATTAAAAATTGCGCAGCGCAGCTTAGGATTTACAAGTAGGATAGGGACATCACTTCCACGTGAAATTATCACATCAGCGATAACAAAAGATGTATTGGAGGGACACACTGAAAGTTCTCTAAGCAAGCAACAGGACTATATTGTTTTTCATGTACTCCATATTCACATTGTCAAAAACATTGACTATTTTGTGAAATCTGCAGCTTGTTTGGCTTTTATAAACCAATCCATGAGTTCACTTTTTTTTCAAACCCACCCTTGAGGTCATTTCTTGTTAATATAATCATGTTATTAGATTATAGTAAGGAAAAAAACGGCCAATACTTATCGGACAATACGATGTGGTGCCTCGCAAGAGAAAAACCATCCCTTGCGGGGCGAGCTGCAGGGACGGGGAACGCGATGTGGCGATCCCCATCCCCTTCCTGGCTCACCTTGTGCCCATCCCTCTTCTAATGAGCTTACACATATTTTTTAAATTTATTCTGCTGCTGTTTCCGTTGTTCCTGTTCTGCTGGTTTAAGGGGAAAAAAAGTTCTTTGACTCTTCATCTTCAATCGAAACTACAAAGGTCATTTTGATGTTGGAAGATCATGAAATACACTACTAACTTCGTAAAATGCAAGCTGTATATCCGGGCAAACGGGCGAGATTATTTGTTCTTGGTGACGTCAAAGGCGAGGATTCTGCACAAACGGATTCCTGGGTCAAAAGAATATTAAGAATGATGAGCTCCGCTTCATTGAACACAAGCAGATTATTCTTTAAGTAAGTCCCATGCACCCATTATCGACCTTTTGCGAGTTCTCCAGATGATCAGGGGAACCGCCCGGTCGATTTTCGCGAATTTCACAATGTGGGACCAAAATTGCGAAAGATATATACAGCATGAACAAAAGCAGACTGCAGTGGTTTGTTCAGGCATCAGTCACCCGTGTCGAAAGCCGCAGAGGCCGCACTTATACACAGTTTGTCCACACCTCTCGAAGGAGATCATATCTGGTGGTGTTTTGATTGGAATTTTGCTTCGATGTCCAACTAGGCTTAGTCGAAACAGGAGAAGACCGAGGACCGTCCATGAAGATTGAAGCTAAGGGCGAATTCAGTTCATCGAGTTCATCGTCGCTAATGTATGATTTTCTGATCACAGACGACGCACATCGTCTAAGCTGAGAATCTGCAACAACCTCCCCGATAATTCCACCAACAGTAGATGCCAAAGGCGGCGTGTATATTGCAGGCGCTGCAAGGTATGGACAGTCTGCAACGGATTCTTCAGCATCCAAACTATGATCCTGCATTGGAAGCAATAAGCTGGTTATTGACACTATGAGACTTTGCGATGTTCCAATTTATTTATTGGATAACGGGGTTTGGAAGTAACTTATCCCAAATACTCTCTCCTCCTTATTGCAAATTGGATATGTAACATCTGAATGTATCTAAATGTATGGAAGATGGTATAATGCATTTTGAATCTCCTAGCACTCCACTAACATGTGAAAATAAGCTGCTGCTTCAGTAAGAGAAATTTTGCATACCTATGCAAAGAAATGCAGTTCATTGTGTTGGTTGACAAAGAACTAACCTCAGATTCCAAGGCTTCAAGCACTCCGTCTGGAATGGAGTCGGGGCAAAACTCATCTGGGACAAAATTGTCGAGAACCCTCTTGATCAGTGAAGCAGCAAACATAGGGCATACCTGAACAAATGTGTAGAAAGTAAGTGCTCTACAGTATCACGGTGCCACAGAAAGCATATCGTAGGGTAATTTTTTCAGAGGTAAACCTCTTTCCTGATAGATCTACTCAAAAGCATGTCCTTTGGCAGCATCATAAGATCGCTCAACGCACTCAAGAGATGAAAGGACTTAAAGGAACTGTCTTTCCCCTCGTCATCAACATATTCACTCTCATCTTCTGGTAAATCGGTATCATCTCTACCAAATAAATCAGTAAGCCATCTTGACCAGTTCCCAATCTGAAAATCACACCAAGAAAGAACCTCAGGAAAAAAATGGATTGTTATCGCGTCAGGCAACAGCTGTCACACACCCCCAAAAGATAGAAAGATTGCTTCGTGAAATACACTACATAAACCATAAACTTCACAATGGTCCATTAACAGCATGATTACCCCTTGCTCATATGCACTATTATTTCTTAGAAAGGAAAGAGAATCTGTTAACATGGCTAAATCAACATCTGTTGTAGTCTAGTTGGTATGGGATTCTCGGCTCTAACCCAAGAGACCCAGGTTCAAGTCCAGGGACAGAATTGTTATTTTACGTTGTCAATAAGTCCGAGTGGTTAAGGAGATAGACTTGAAATCTGTTGGGCTAATAAGGTATTGAATGAGTCGAGGCTTCTCTACCTAAAGTGGGCTTTCCTCATTATAGAAAAAAAAATTGACATTCAAGAGGTCCTTACTCCTGAAGTTATATCTTATGTCTATACTTCATGCATCACAAAAACACATTTTTGTATGACATAGGAACTGTCCGATTATGAGAACAAACAAAAAACAACAGGGAAAAACTAGCACAACTTTGAAAATTCTACCGTGTTCTTTAGTTGTGCACCAATGCCAAAGCTTGATGTCCCTACTGGTATAGGTAGAACCTTGGGATCACTGATGGGGTCAGATATTGGATCACTTGGGATCCCATTTGCAGAATCACGAAGAATAGCATTGAACATGGCCACATCTAATCTACCCACACACTGCTCCATAATCTGCAGAAATTGGGAACAAAACCACAATTTTAATGTCGTAATTCTAAGAAGTAACATCACAATTGTTTTTTACAGTAGATACAACTTTCAAATTACAAATCACAAGATGCTCAAGTTTTCAGACTAGCGCATCCTCATTGTTTTCATGTCATGCTAACATAAATTACGAAGCAGTATTTTTTTTTTTAAGAAAGTGATCTCATATATGTCATGCATAGTTTTGAGTCATGCCAAAGCTAGGTCACTATTATGCAACCAAGGCCAAAGAAAAGTATTGATCATATCATCAGTTGCATATAGAATAAAAAGTGCAGCACAAGTTCAAGGACCATTTACAGCTCGGTTGCGATATTGATTAAAGCATCATCATCTGAAAGAATGGACAAAATGTTTGGAATGAGCACTTTGCTGCTTTAGTTTGTTGCGTATCGTCTTATGGCAGTTACTCATTAACCTGAATTGAAACTATGTGCAGAAACAAGTTCGCAGCCATAACACAAGTATTGCATCAGATAAGGTATTCTTCAAATCATCTTTTAAAAATATTATGCTGCTGTAAATGATGTGTCATTAACAGTAGAAAAGAGCACACGCATGGCACGAGCCATGCAGCAAGTACATATGTTCACAACTTCATACCAGCCTCGCAAGCATAGGCAAGCAGCCACATTCATGTCCTACAGCTCGAACAGGACAAAGTCTTTCACAAGCATCCCTAAATGCTTTCTTCCAGTGGTCCAGTGAAATGTCTCCTCGAACATCTTCATGAGTTACTCTTTCACCACTTTCATTTAAGCTAGAGTCCATGATATCGGTAGCCTTTATAGTAGTAGACTGCATATATGGAGTCAAGGTCTGGAAAGGGATAAAGGAACTATAAATCAGCCCACAACAGAAAAGAAAAACATACAGGACAGAAAAGAATTAAGCTTCTTTGTGAAGATCGTAAAGCCCGTGACACAGGAAAAGAATAGAGATGAGTAGGAGGGGAGGGGGAGAAGTGGGAACCAAATAAATGCGAGACCTGCCACCATATGGACTCTATTGCACGGGAGAAGATCCAAGTTTCAACCCTTTCCAGTGCAGATACAAATGTATTGTGGTCCTCCCAGTCACACACTGTTCCACCATTCGCATTTCCATTCCTATGAGAAGAGGACTTCCATTTTAACGACGATGGAATCTCAACACTTTGCTTCCCAGCATTATCTTTGCTGCTCTGGGTCGATGAGGAAAGTGATAGGTCCATCTTTTGCGTCATCCCACTGATTATTGTTCTTAATACAACAGAATTGGACAACCAGTACATTAATCTGCACTCAGCACATCGGAAGCAAAATCAACCTATATGGACCATCTGTCATTTATAAAGCTCAGAAGTAATTGTCAAAGTGAGTGATATGGATAGGCTTGTTATGGGCTCAGTCAATGATCTATTAGTTAGCCATGGTAGAACAATTTCTGCAAGGACCTATATTCTTCTATAACTTCCAAATTTTTCTTAGGATTTAATCTCACAATCCGCTATTGCAGGTAACTCAATATCCTAAAACATCATGTGAGTAAACTCATATGATCATCCAGACCAACAAAAAAAATAAAACTCCTATGATCCCCACTTGGAGAGGCAAAAATATGCATTGTCATCGAAAATCTAAATAAGCTATAACAGTTATTGCAGATGTTGAATTTGAGATTTTTAGACTTCTGGAAACATAATGGTCAACGTTAGAAATGTCTAATGAAAACAAAATCTCCAGAAAGGTCTCACTCTATATAGTGTGTACCTTGGCACATCATTGCCACATGCTTTTGCAACCAACACTAAACCTGAAACAGCACTTCTAGCTGCACTAGCTCTTCTTGAATGTGACAGCTCTCTACAAGCATGAATATACAATCGAGAAAGCCGCCGAGCCGGAGCATGGACTTTAGCCATAGAAGAACCATGCTCCGCAATTACTGAAAACAGAGCAACCTCGACTGCAGCTGCTTCAATTAACTCTCCCTCTAGCATTTTGATTCGATGCTCCAATTGCTGAACTTTAGCTTCCAAAAGTGCACTTCCCGTGTCCTTAGCATAAACCTTAGCATCCCTTCTTTC